TGGCTGGGTAGCGGGGCTAGTTGCTGGCGACGGGTTAGCTGCTGTTTGCGGGTGGTTGGTGGCTGGTTACTGGCGGGTTTTGACGCGGGCGGGTTAGCGGGCTGTTGGGGGGGCTGTTGGCTGGCTTTTTGCTGGCGGGTTGGCTGGTGCTTTTTTAGCGGCGGGCGGTTGGCGGGCTGTGGCTGCGGTTAGCGGGCTGGCTGTTGGGCTGGCGGGTTTGCTGGTTGGGGGCTGGGGGGTTGGCTGGCGGCTGGTTATCTGGCTGTTGGGGGGGGCTGGGCTTTTTGGGCTGGTTAGCTGGCTGGTTGGCTGGCTGGTTGGCGGCGGTTGGCGGGCTGGTTACGGCTGGTAAGCTGGCTGGTTGGCTGGCTAGTTGGCTGGCTGACGGGTTATTCGCGGTTGGCGGCTGGGGGGGCTGGCGGGTTTTTGGGTGGCTGGTTGACTGGCGCTGGTTGGCTGTTGGCTGGCGGGTTGGCGGCTTTTTGCGGGGCTGGTTTTGTGGGCGGTTGACGGGCCCGATTGCTGGCTGTTGGCTGTTGGGGGGGCGGGTTGGCGGGCGGGTTGCTGCTGGCCGGTTGGGTGGGGTTAGTGGCTGGTTGGCTGGCTGGTTAACGGGCTTTTGACTGGCGGGTTGGGGTGGTTTAACGGCTTTTTTGACTGCGGGTTGGCGGGGCTGGTTAGCTGGCGGTTTGCGGGCTGGCTTTTAGCGGCGGTTAGCGGGCTTTTTTGGCGGCCCGCTCAGCGGCGGGTTTGACTGCTGGTTGACTGTGGCGGTTAGCTGGCTGGCGGGTTAGCGGCGGGCTGGCTGGCGCCAGCTGGCTGGTTCTGGCTGGTTGGCTGGCTGGTTGGTTGCGGGCGGGTTGGCTGGTTGTTAGCTGGGGGTTTGGGGGTGTGGGGGGGTTTTTATTTGGGGTAGCGGGTTTTCTGGGGGTTTTGGCCTGGTGGGTTGGTGGCTGGCTGGTTAGGGGGTTAGCTGGCTGGTTTGGTGCTGGTTGGGGTTTAGCGGCTGGTTGGGCTGGCTGGTTGGTTGGTTGCTGGCGGGCTCGCTGGTTGTAGGGGCCTGTGGGGGGGTTGGCGGGCTGGTTAGTGGTTTGTGTTTTGTTAGCTGGGGGGTTGGCTGGCTGCGGGTTTTAGTTAGCTGGCGGTTGGTGGGCTGGCTGGTTGTTCGGGCTTGGCTGGTTAGTTGGGGTTTGGTGGGGGGGTTTTGTCGGGCTGGTTGGCTGCGCTGTTTGGTGGCGTTAGTTGCTGGTGGTTTGGCTGGCTGTGGGGGTTATTGCGGCGGTGGCGGGGTTTTGGCTGGTTGCTGGCTGGTTTTAGGGTTTTTTTTGGGGTTTTAGCGGGTGGTTTTGCGGGTTTGGCGGGTGGGTTAGTTTACCCTTTGGCGGCTTTGTTTGGGGTTGCTGGCTGGTTTGTTACTGGCGGGTTTTGGCGGGCGGCGGGTTAGTTCTGGCTGTTGGCCTGGGGGAAACTGGTGGTTGGGCTGGGGGGCGGTTATTTAAGGGTGGGGGGGGTGGCGGGTTTTTTGGGCTTTTGGCTGGCCTGTTATTAGTTTTTAGTAGGGGCGGGTTGGGGGGCTGGCTGGATTAGGCTTTGGGGCTGGCTGGTTTTGGCTGGGGTGGCGGGTGGTTATTTTAGCGGCTGGTTGGTGGCTGGCTGGTTATTTAGCTGGCTATTGGCTGGCGGGTTAGTTGGGTGGCTGGTTGGCGGCTGGCTGGTTATTTTTAGGGCGGGTTGGGGGCTGGCTGGTTAGTTGTGGCTGGTTTTGGCTGGCTGGGGGTTAGTTACTGGCGGGTTTTGGCGGGCTGGCTGGTTAGTTAGTGGCTTTTTGGCGGGGCTGGCGGTTATTAGCTGGGCGGTTGGTTGGTGGTGGTTTTTTTGCTGGCGGTTTGGGCTGGCGGGGGGTTAGTTAGTGGCTGTTGGCTGGCGGCTGTTATTAGCTGGCTAGTTGGCTGGCTGGTGGTTGGGGGTGCGGGTTTTGGTTGCTTTATCTTACGAATTAACCAAAAAAAACTAAAACCTTAACACTTCAGAGAAAATTATACAAAAATCGCAAAAAAAGCGGTAAAAGATGCAAAAACACCAGGGGGGGAATTGAATGATAGGGCCTTTCGTGTTTCAATCAAAACCTCCAGGAGCTTGCAGTGTTGCAGAAAGGGGGGGTCCCAAACAACGCGATCAAAGGGAATTTCCTGTGTCACATTTTTCCTGAACCTCCTCCTGGTTCAAAATTGAAGCTACGATGACTTTGATTGCAACACGAAGGCCTAGGGCTATCATTCAACTCCCCCCATGGTTGCTTTGCACCCTAGAGAACATAAAAGGAAGAGATAACGGAATAAACGAACCCCAGAAAATGGGAAGCAAGAAGGCAGAGCTAACTGGGAGTTTAAAGTCCATCTACTGCACCCAAGTCATCCTACACCTAACACTCCACCACAGAATACGATTTAAAGAAAAATACACATATACGCTGAGATATATACATCCCTTAGTGTATATCTTCTGATATACAGAGTGTTGTAAACAGTAACAGAATAATAACACTGGTTAGGAAGTGATGACGCCAGATTGAATTACACAGCTTCAAAGGAAGGTACGACAGGATCCAGTGTGCTGGTAATTTACGAAGCTGGTTTTTTTGCAGGGAAAAGGCGAGACCAGGAGCTGTGAATCTCCTCCTGTAGCCAATACTTGAATACATGAGGTGAGTACACCAGAGCCAATACTTGAATACATGAGGTGAGTACACCAGAGTACACTAGATGAGTACACCAGATGAGTACACTAGATGAGTACACCAGATGAGAACACTAGATGAATACACTATTTGGGTTTACTAAATGAGTACATCAGATGAGTACACTAGATGAGTACACTAGGTGAGTACACTAGGTGAGTACACTAGATGAATACACTAGGTAAGTACACTAGATGAGCACACTAGGTGAGTACACTAGGTGAGTACACTAGATGAGTGCACTAGGAAAGTACACTAGACGAGTACACTATTTGAGTTTACTAAATGAGTACATCAGACGAGTACACTAGATGAGTACACTAGATGAGTACACTAGGTGAGTACACTAGATGAGTGCACACTAGGTGAGTACACTAGGTGAGTACACTAGATGAATACACTAGGTGAGTACACTAGAAAGCACACTAGAGAGTACACTAGGTGAGTTACAAAACTAGATGAGTACACTAGAAGTACACTAGTGAGTACACTATATTTAGTGTTACTAAATGAGTACATAGATGAGTACACTAGTGGAGTACACTAGATGAGTACACTAGGTGAGTACACTAGGTGAGTACACTAGGTGAGTACACTAGGTGAGTACACTAGAGTACACTAGGTGAGTACACTAGATGAGTACACTAGATGAGTACACTAGGTGAGTACACTAGGTGAGTGCACTAGGTGAGTACACTAGGTGAGTACACTAGGTGAGTACACTAGATGAGTGCACTAGGTGAGTGCACTAGGTGAGTACACTAATGAGTACACTAGTGAGTGCACTAGGTGAGTACACTAGTGAGTACACTAGGTGAGTACACTAGGTGAGTACACTAGATGAGTGCACTAGTGAGTACACTAGGTGAGTACACTAGATGAGTGCACTAGGTGAGTACACTAGGTGAGTATGTCAGCATAGTTGCTGATCCCTGTGTTATATAGCATAGCATATAGTATCATCCATGTGCTTTAGATAGGAGATCCCTTTTAGGCCTGTGACTTTGTGTGACGTCACGGGATGCGCATGTGTACGTTCGTACCTCTGCCTCGGCCTCAGTCGGCGGTAGATCATCCAGGCTAGGACAGGCAGAGGCTGGGCTCCAATTCCCATCATCACAGTCTGACAATATATCGTTACCATCCAACAAGTGTGTCTACCTTCAACCCTCGATATCTCCATATAAGAACCCCTACGATAAATGGTGGCAACGGAGGGCCTGTAATTCTGACGATTACAGCGATTTCTGGAGATAAATTTCGACTGAGCCTGCCATCTTGTGAGTAGGCCTACCGAGAAGGTTAACGCCAGCCAGCTACCTCAAGTCAGCTACTCTCTCAAGCTCCTACCAGCTTCTACACCATTCACTGGTCAGTCTCTTTGTATTAGTGTTATCTGCTTATTTGCATCACTCCCGAGGGGTTGACCTGAGTTTGCAAAATAAGCCAGCTTCCAGTCTGTGGTGAGGGAGTCCAATCTAGCCTAGTTTACTCCATCCAATTCTTTTGCCTCCCAAGCCAGCTTCCACCTCTGCTGTGCTCATCGTGTGAAGTTATCAAGCTATTCTGTGTGAAGGGTTAAGATAAGCCAGCTAGCAACTAACCCAGGTGTCTTACCCCAGTACTCAAGCAAGCCACGTGAGTAGTCTTCATCGCTTGTGATTCAAGCTCCAAGCAATTCTGAGTGCTCTTTTTCATCCTTGTGCTGTTGTGGTATTTCGTGGGTGTATTTTAAGCTAGCCAGCTTAGAATATCTTCACGGCAGTGTGGCTGTCCTTAGTGAGGCTTACGCCGTTCAACCCATAGGCCCAACCACCCACTCACCACGTGTGTCTCACCATTGCCCGGTCTTAGCCCTGTTTACCCACAAACCCAACCACTATCACTGTGTTGTGGTATTCACCCAACCTCTACCAGTGTTTTGGCGTGCTACTAAGGGTTGTAGCACCATATTTTAAGGACCACATAGGGGGTCAAGAGCTAGAGTGTGTTTCGCCCCACCGTTGAAAGCCTCCTGTGTGTGTCTGTCGTCGATGTAAGCGCAATTCTACGATCACATGTGCAGAGGACAGCAGCAAGACGACATAAACAATCCTCTACTCTCCACTACCATCTACCTCATTCTACACCAAGTCGTTACAGCGATAATTAATATTTTTTTCATAGAGACATTTGCGAGTGTCGAGACATTTCTTTTGTGTTCCAGTGATTTTCTTAGTGACATTCAGTGACTCTTGATTAGACTCAGTGTTTATCATATACTGATTGCAATAATTTGATAATCTCCTTAATTCAGTGTTAATTTTCGTGCATTATCTTATGTCTGTTGTGTTGTGTGTCTTTTTATACACTTGAAGTAAGTACCTAGTGTTTTTCCTTGTTGTGTGTGCAACATATGAGCAGTATAGAACTTGTGTTTACACTTCAGAATCACCTTGTGTTCTCAGTGATTCAGTGGAGTAATTCAGTAATTTATTTAGTTATATTCTGCATCACAACTCAGTGTTGTCTCAGTTATATATAATTTTTTTCATCCCAGCATTTGTGTATTTTTTTTTGTTCCCTGTGTGTTGAACATTCTTGTGTTCATATTCTTTTCATTTAGCCAGTGTCTAATTTGTCTTATTTCCACAGACAATAGTGCCATTATTTTGTGCAAGCAAGAAATCATTTTTTACAAAATTTTTCACACCAAGTTTCATTGCAAGAACATTCTAGTATTGTGTTTATGTTGATGTGTTGTGTTCTGCATCACTGTAAGTGTTCAAACTTTTTTGTTCTGTGTTTTAGCACCTATTATTTTTCATGTTTCATTGAACAAATTCACTCTTAGTGCAATTTTTCAGTTCTTCTTTTAGAGTAAATTGTTCTTTTGCTTGTTAAGTGTTGCTTGAGTGCAGTTAAGAGTCAAATTGTTCCCTCAGTTCATTCCTTGATGTATTTC